AATTTTATTGGATTATCCAGAGACACGGTAGTGTCCCGGTGCTAAGAAAACGCGTAGCGTTTTCAAAATTACGAAGAAATCTCAAACATAATAAGCAATGTTGCGAAAAGTTTTGACATTCAAACTATCAATTAGAGAGATTATCCTACATAATTATTTGGATGGCTCAACAAAATTATTTTCAGACCTGTTTTTCAAACCTATTTAAATTTTTAGATCTTCAGCAAAGATATTCTTTCCTTGTTAGTTTCTTAGTTTTAGAATTATGTAGGTTTAATCAAAATTTTTCTTGAATATAATTGACAACTGCGGTTGCAAACAAAATTTACAATCAAGATCTGTAATTTTGTGGGACCATCAAAATAATTGCATAGATAGAAATCTCAAGTGATGAGCAATACTGCATATTAAATTCTGACATTTTAGCAACTAGTTTGAGTCCTACATAATATTGATGGTTATTTTGATAGTTAACTATATATTAAAGGTTATGTAGATGGTTAATTACACTGATAATTAAAAAAATTATATTTTCAGATCTGTTTTTAGTTAAAGTTTTAGATACTTCAGTAAAATTATCCTTTTCATGCATATAGCATTGAATACATGTCGATAGAATATACGTATATTAATAAATTGTTCAAGATATTTTTGAGCAAAATCAATAAAAAAAATAAGTTGAATATCGATGCTGTTCTGACTCACACTGATCTTCGCAGTTTCTTGTTAATCAGTAGTGACACATTTGACAATTTGTTAAATTATATTATCGTTTATATTTAACTCTATCACAATTTAATTATTGATTATGCCGTTAAATTTATTATAACTTAATTTATTATTACTACTTATTTTATTATTTTAATAATTGACCAATATAATCGTCGGTTACATCGTCGGTTATCATTGTGGGATATCCAGTCATTCACTACCATCCAGCTTTCAAACTGGGAATTTTTATTCTAAAATGGATGAATATTACTGCTATACAATGATATCGATTGTTACTTCAACATATATCGACTTTTATAAGATTCATGGATAATCAACGTGTTGGAACATATATATTGTAAATTTGCTGAAGAAGGCTAAAAGATTAGCCGAAACATGTAGAAGTAATAATATAATATATAATTAATTTATAGAAACAAAAACTGCGCACCGCATCTACAGCGCCAATTCCCAATTGCCTGTTTATATGATTTCTTGAATAAAAAAATTGTTTTTGTTTTAATGACAAAACGATATTGTTTCAAAAGGGTTAATAAAACCAGCAAGATTTTTAATCGGGTTTGTTTAAAAGCGGTATATATTATTATAAAAAAGAATTTTTAGTTCAGCATTCCGACTTGAATAATTCAGGTTCTCAAAGGTGCAGAGCCGAGAGGATTGCCACTTCACGAGAAACTCTTGCCGGAATATTTGCGTGAGCTTGGATATAGCACGCACATTGTCGGCAAATGGCATCTAGGATTTTACAAAAAGGAATATACTCCCACTTACAGGGGATTCGATACTCATACTGGCTTCTGGACAGGTCATCATGATTATTTCGATCACACGGCCGTTGAAAACGTGAGCGACTATGTATTAAATAAAAGTATAGTTTTTATTATTTAATGTAATGATGTGATAAAAAAATAGCCTTACTGGGGATTGGACATAAGACGGGGTATGCAACCGGCATGGGATCTGCACGGTCAATATTCTACGGATATTTTCACGAAAGAGGCGGTGAGATTAATTGATAACCACAACTCTAGTCGACCGATGTTCCTATATTTGGCCCACGCGGCCGTACACTCCGGAAACCCTTATAATCCGCTCCCGGCGCCAGACGAGGAAGTGGCTAAGTTCAATAATATCTTTGATTACAATCGAAGACGTTTTGCAGGTAAAAATGTTTAAAGGATAGAAATGAGAGTTAATACGAAATAGACTGTTGATTAAATAGAAAATATATAAAATTTTTAGGAAATACAACGAGACTAAAAATGTGTACTAAAGAGAAACAGATTGATAATTTTAAAATTTTGCTATAGGTATGCTAAGCAAACTAGATCAATCTGTGGGTCAAGTAGTTGACGCTCTACGTAAAAGAGACATGTTGCGAGATAGTATAATTATCTTCTCATCGGACAATGGTGGGCCTGCCGCTGGATTTAATTTGAATGCAGCATCTAATTGGCCATTGAGAGGAGTAAAAAATACTCTTTGGGAAGGTAATTTTATTTGACTATTGATAAATTAGATGATTATGCAAATTTTTTAACACAATTAAAACGTCTTGATTAATGAGCAAATTTTATTGTATTAGCAATCTTTAAAAAAAATTATTTTCAACTATATACTTTTTATAATTAAATTTGTAATTAGTATATAATAACTTAGTAAGTAATTGTATTTTTAAGAATTCTCGAATTATCCATGAAATTATAATAGGACTTTATTGAATATTTTATGAAGATTTAATTTAAAAATTCATGTTTTGAAAACCATTTTTCATTTTTAATGTCCTTAAATGAATAATCTTTTTAATTCTGTTATTGCAGGCGGTGTCAGAGGTACGGGATTAATATGGTCACCCAGACTGGTGCGACCTGGTCGCGTAAGCAGGCAGATGTTACACATTACCGATTGGCTGCCGACGCTTATAACAGCCGCTGGTGGTAATCCATCGAACTTAACTGTCGATGGCATGGATCTGTGGAATGCGCTTAGCGAAGATACTGAGTCACCGCGCTCGAACGTTCTTCATAATATTGATGATATTTACGGTGTTTCTGCTATAACGGTCGGCGACTGGAAGCTCATTCGGGGTAAAAGAAGGACTAAGATATTTTGTTTTATAACAATCTAAACTTGGAAATCGTCCCGTACAGCATAGATTAGTCCAGCAATATTGCAACAACAGTGCAACGTACCAACAATACTACAGTAACATTACAAACACTGCAGCAATATTACTGAAAGCTTCTGTGATGTATGGGAGGATAACAAACGTTCATCTAATATCGTATTTTTTCTTCATTCTCTATATTGTAAAATATAAATCCCTAGCAATATTGCAGCAACGTTGTAATGTTGCTGCAATGTTATTGAACCGTTTTAATATATTTCTTGCTTATTGAGAATATATATAAATATTGAATAATGATAAAAATATGTATGCACAAATATACGGAAAGAACAATTTTACTAGAATACCTAAAAATTTAGCTAGATACAGATCAGAAAATAATTTTGCTGTTCCAAAATTATGTAGAAAACTCAAGCATGATGAGCAGTACAACAAAAAGTTTTGACATTTTAGCAACCAACTTGATCGTTCCACATAATTATGTTAATAGTCCGGCAAAATTATTTTCAAATCTGTGTGTAGCTAAATTTTTAAATACTTCTGCAAAACCGTCCTTTCCCTGTATATATTGATTCTGTTCAACTTGGTTTTCTATAGGATCTACTTACAAAGGAGCATGGGACGGATGGTACGGTCCATCTGGTAGGGAATGGGTCTACGACGTGGACGGAGTGATTAGCAGTACAACAGCACATGCCATCGCCAGTGTTGGATTAGGCATTACTACAGATGTTGTTTTGATGTTGCGTGAAAACGCGTTAATCAAATGTCCGCCGCGGAATGACAGTCTGCCCAGCTGTAAACCATTGGAGGAAGCATGCCTCTTCAACATCTATCAGGATCCTTGCGAAGATAATAATCTTGTTAAACAGTGAGTGAAATACGATATTATTTCGATATAATTTGTTAAGAAATTTTATTTTATTTTAATTTTAAAATGAACTTCGTAATTAACCTGTTCTTTTTTTTACATCAAAGATTTCCTACAATCGTCAGGAAACTGCAAGACGAATTGAAAAAGTTCAACAGTAGCGCACTTCTGCCCGGAAATCTTCCGTGGGACAGTAAAGGCGATCCGAATTTATGGGATCATACTTGGAATAATTTCGGAGATTATATTAATGTTATGGTAAATGCTGCAACCTGATCAATTTTCTCAAAATGATAGAAAATCTCAAGAATTTCATCTTTTTCTGTAAACTCCAATTCTTATAAAACCAGAAAACGTGCTGCCCATGTTAGCCCATATTTATATGCGAAAAAATCTATACAACTGTAAAAATATTTAGCCTTTGGTTTTTTACCTTCATTTATATGCATTATAGTTAAAAAATGTTTGTCATCAAGAGATCGTATAAAAATATTCGGCGACACTAAATTAAAGATGTTATTTTATTTATAAGGCGATGTATCGACCTTATGTTTTATTGCTCAATTTGTTAATGTAATTTTACAGCAGTGTTTGATATATTTAAAAAAGAATGCATGTGTATATAAAGAACTTTATTATAGGCAAATAAATCGAAATAAAAAATTTAAATGGTGACTATTTCTTAATTATTATTAGACTGCGGAACTTTATGCAAAATACTTAACTGAATATTAACTATCGGACAATTTTAGCAGTCAATCGTTGTTCGTTAAAGAGTTATTAAAAGGTGAATTAAAAAGATTGAGATTGCCATCTGTAAATTTACAAAATTGCAAAATATGCATTTTATGCAAAACATTCAGTTAAGTATTTTGCATAAACTTCCGCAGTCTAATTATTATCGAATGACTTTGAATTGATACTTGTTAAGATAGGGTTTCCTGTTATTGTGTTATTTTCCTATATATTTCTAATATATAATCGATATTAGATTTATCTAAATGATACATCTCCATCACTTTGGCGCATCTGGAACACGAAAGTACTTTATAATGTGCCAATTTTTACGCGTGCTAATATAATACCGCTTCAAAGATCAATTACGTACATATCATACAAGTTTTTCAGTACCATAAATTGCAAATGTATCATTTTGTTTAATTTGTTATCAGTAATTATTGCTATCAAGGAATAAATGCGAAAGAAGCTCGATGATTTCAATCCATGCTACTGAATAAACTTTAAGAACTTGTTCTCCTTGTGATTGTTTTACCCGCAACGAGAGGGAACCCATTCGAGTCCACTCGAGCAGATTTCTTCTTCCTTGTCGCAAGTGCATTTGCACAATTTTTCATTCCAGACCATCTGGCGTTCTTTATCACACTCTCTTTTATTCATGCATTCGCATGCACAGTTGTCTTCCGAATATACCTGATGAATGTTGCAATGATTTTCTGTCACGCTACATTGACATCTAAAAAAATCATATTCTCTTTCTCTTCAACGATGAACATTAGACAAAATTAGTGTTGATAATGGACTTGTTTTGTACAGAATTACACTTTTGGTCTAAAACGTTTCCGCTTTTCTAGCTTTTTTAGTTACTAAAAATTCTAATTGTCAAAAATTTAATTACAGAAAAGAATATAAAGCTTTGATATGCTTGAAATTTGTCTCTCTATAAATAAAGAATTAAAGTTCCTGGTCGGAAATTACGGATTATTTAAAAAATAAACAATTGAAATATAGGATTGTACGCGTTATTTATGCGATTGTATTATTTTCTTCTTTTATCAATCGTCAAATACTAAGCATCTAGAAGAAGAAACATAATAGCAGAATGGAAAACTATCTTACTTGCATTTGGTGTGCTCCTCGAGCAACACGTGATAACACTCGCTTGAGTCATAGCCGTCCATTCTCACTGCGATCTTTCTAACATTTTTGCGAACTGGCATGCATGATTTATTCCTCGGACAGAAACCACTGCATCTTTTCACCGAGGCATAATTCGGATAAAAAGTGTAGCCCGGTTGCGGTATTAATTTTACCATAGCGTGCCTTGGCACGCACATTACTTCTTTCATCTGATTATTCAATTGCATACGTCTTCCTGCGCATCCTAAAAGTATAATTGAGAAATTCGCAAGAATTTATTTAAAAAATCAGCCATCTCTATATCCGATTACTTGAAAAATTAATGAGAAAATAAGTCACTCTTATATATTCAATTCTTTGAGTTATTACTAGTAAGCAACTGTTATTAGTAAAGTAAGCAAGAGGTCAATGATTATCAATCCGTTCAATAATTTCCGCAATAGAGAATGATTTCTGAGAACCTTGTTAGATTTCTTTTCCTCTTAATAGTAACAAAAATATCTATATATTATTATTGGTATATAAAAATTGTATATTATTAATTTTATTTATACTTTATATATACAATTTATATATTTTGCAAAGTAGATACAATAAAGAATAATTTCTTTCGTAAAAAGAATAACTAAAAGATATAAAATAAATTTTTTATCGCTTTATTGTTTTCTTGAGAAAAATAATTTTATACGCAAAAGTAATGTGCGTGTTTATATATTATGCAAGATGTATGAAAAATAACGATGAGGAAAACAATATTCTTTAGAACAAAAAATACAAGTAGAGTTCATTTCAATCATGCATTATCACATGTAAGATTGTAATAATAAATCGTAAAATTGAAAGATAACATGAGATTGAAGATAGAGGAGAAATCTTTTACATAAAATTCAATCAGTTTCAATATTGATTATGCGAAAATGTATATATAAATAAAATAAAACGTACTTTATTTTTTGCTCACAGTAAATAAACTTTCTTTCATGTAGCATTATTTAAGACATTATTGAAAATATAATTTCGGAAAGTATTGGTTAAACAGACTAAAACTATCGGTAAGATGCAATCACTGTTGATACGAATAAACATTAGAAGCTTCTATGTAAAAAAATATTTTAGTAGCACATTCAAAGAAACTTTACAAACTAATACCTATCGCCACCCCTTCGTGCGGACGTAATTCATCGTCGGTGAATTGCATGCTCTCGGCATAAATCCATGTAGTCACTAAAGTACACACTACTGTAAGAAACTTCATGATTAACATATAATATGCGCAAATAAACTGCTTCTAACGCGGCGTATCATTAGATAATGAGCATTACAAAATTTCTTCTTTGTTTATTTATAACGGCCGGAAGATGAAGTGGCGACGTGCGGTTTTAAATCTCGGTCGCAAAATGTCTATTGACTTTGCAAGATATAGAGAAGGAAATTCCGCTATGCGGAACGAATATTTCCTGCTTGATTATTAGATATGCCTGACTAGATGTATTCTGCCTGACTATTACAGATTTATTACTGATTACACAGTAATCTAAAATACATATGCATTTGATGAACTAATTTTATTCAATTTATGTTACTCAAATTTGTTATCAAATTTGATATTAATGTATAAGAGATTGCAATGCATAAAGCTGAAAACGCAATTTTAATATTTCTGCGAATTAAAACGATATTATGATTTTCTTTTCTTTTTTTTATCTTTTGAATCTACTTTTTAAATCTATTTCTTTTTATTTTTTAATCTTTTTTATTTGTTTTCTATCAAAATTTGAATTTCATATATAGGAATTTCTTATCTATCTTTGATCTCATGTTACCTTTCAATTTTATATCCGTATAAATAGTCGAATAAAAGATGACATGTTGTAAAATTTAATTAATCAAAAGGGAATCACAGAATGTTGTCGCACTGCTTTGCAGTACGACCCAAATTTGTAAATAATATTTGATTTATTATTTAAACTATACATTGTTATATTCCTTGGGCCAATTGTCGATAAACGTACAAAGTAAGAAAAGAAAAGTATTGAAATTAAAATTAGAATGTACTATACTGTCAGCTAAAACGTTAAGATAGGTCCTTCTCGGTGATCCAGAATATCTGTAACAGAAATTATCGCGGCTGAAGGAAAAAGATTGAACGGTTTATATTATATTTGAAATGCATAGACAAAATTAATTTAATGTCCCAGATTATACCAACGTGTTTTATTAATAGAGACGAAAAAGATTTTATATAATAGCACAGCGTGGCCGAGGAACTTTTAAACACTCCATATAGATATTAAAAAATAAAAATGTTCATGTAATTTGATTTCGGTTTGATTTACCTTTCGCTATGCTCCACCACGGTAACGTAATATACGTTAAAAAGGCGTTCAAAGGTACGGACTGCGCTCGCTTCGTCTCTTTCCAGAAATGGAAGGTTTGGGTAAAACCTCTCATCGTCCAAAGTGGATTATACGCCCCGTCGTCCAACTCTGAAAGGAAAGAAATATTATTAATTACAACCCAACTCAAAGGTTGTAACATATTTCATGTCCTGCAACAACAGGACGGTTGTTTGAGTACAGGATAGATAGTCATTCGAGCAATGAAACAGACACAAGCTTAAAATCGTAGGAGATTAAATGCATCCTTTGATTAGGTTGTTACGAGTCACAGTGGAAAAGATGAACATGTCAAGTATATGTATATGATGTTGCAGATTATGCACAAGAATTACAGATGCGCAAGATAGAGAGGGCAAATAGAGGGCGTTTTCCAGAAAGGACATAGTATGACACAGTAAATCATTTCATCCTTGTTTAACTAGCACACACAACAAGGATGTAATAATTCATTGTATTATACTGTGTCCTTGCTAGAAAACGTCCAGAGTAAGGAATATCAGGATACATCAATTTTCGCTTTTATTCCCAAAATGTATAATGATAAACCTCGTTGAAGATAGTTTTTTAATGTATAGAAATCACATTATGCAAGTTACATACAGAGACAGGTCCACATTCGCTGAAAATGAATCACACACAAGAGATTGTCGTTCACTTTAAGAAGAATTAGTACCTAGATGTTTTATGAATTCTTGCAGAAAGCGAGTATTGAAAAATAGAATTAATATTACGTTCACAAAATGAATTAACTATATCTACCTACTTTTGATGATCGTGCTTATTATCGGAGGTGAAATTCGTGATCAAAAATTATTTCAAGCATTCGAAAATGACCGAAAAAGTCACTTCCCAGACAAACTCTTTGCAAACCACCACCATCATTATCACCCTCCGTCGCATCGCGTGCAATCAGTTTGTTTCACCATCCCATAAACACAATCATTGATGAACACAAACGAATGCTTTGGATTCAGGTAGCACACGTCTACATTACGCACAACGATTCAGTACAACAGAAATGATGATCAGTGGATTGCTCGCTCGTTGAGGGCAAAGGAATAGAAAGGTATGTTAGGGTAAGGGCACAGGAAGGGTAGGAAAAATTTACCCTGTGAGCCGGGGCGGCGCGGGAGCTCGCACCAGTAGTAGATCGCGGTGCCGTCCGGCGTGACTCGATGAGGGGGTAAGGGGTTACCCGCGAAGCTGCCTGAGAGCGCCCTTCGACGTCGTCTTCGGGGTAACGTGGCGCTCTGTCGACGTGTCGACACGACCTCGCCGTTGATGCGTGTCACATGATGAGCATTCGCGTTTTTGTCTTTGATTTCGTCGTTCTTATTCTTGTTCTGTCCGTAGGCGTAGTCCTCGTGATCGGAACCAGCGCTACGCAGACGGCGACGGCTGTCAGATCGTCTTACCCTGAGTAGCTCGTCATCGCTGAGCCGCCGGTGTTCCTCGTCGTCGTTCTCTAAACCGTTATGATGATTGAACAGGTGTCCGGCGCTGTACGGACGTCGTTTCCGGTTATTGTCCTCCGTAGTGGTAGCCACGTTGTAACCCAGCGGCAGTTCCTCCTTGCCGTGCACCAATATCGCGCCCGAGTCTAACTTCTGCCGGACGTTGTCGTCCGTCAGGCACCGGCCGGCCGGCACTAAGATCTCGCTGCCCACCTCTATGTGTTGGTGCTGGTGGTTCTGCTGATGATTGTTCTGCTGGTGAGTGTGGAAACCTGCCGCGAGAACCACGTCGTCATTTAGACGGCGATTGCACCCGTCGCGACTACAAACGATCGTGCTCCCGGTCTCTTTTTGCGCTTTGTTCTCCGTGCATTTATCTAAAACCACTTACTCCTTTTTCAGTGCAACTTGAACATTTTATTCAATTAAGGCTTTAGCTTTAGTTCAATCAAGTGATAAAACAAAAATATTTAGAAAAGTCTCTTTGTTCATAGTAACATATATTCTTGTCAAAGCTTATTTCAAGGACACAAAATACGATGACACACCCTGTAATTCGGAAAGGAGCTAAACACAGAGATTCTACTAATCACACAAGAAGCAAGAGCGTCGGCAAGAGCAGAGACAAGAGAGACTGATCGGACTGATCGTTTTCAGCGCGAACGAGCACACTCACCGTGTGTCTCGCGATAAATCGTCTCCTTGCGTATCGGCGAGTTCTCATTCATTCCGGATCGTTCCCGGGCATTACGTTGTCGTTGCTTGTTGTGGACGGGGTGTTGTTGTAGTTGTTGCTGAGCCAATGGCGATCTTCGTCGACGTAACGATCGGGAACTCCTGCGGTTTCCCGGTGAGCCCCGGCCGCCCCAGCTGCTATCCTGTACATCGGCTACAAAGGAAAGAGCCGGCATGGCACGTGCGAGTGATTAGAGATAAAAAGATACTTTTTCGTTTGTTCGTTCATTAGTTTTCTGTCATCTTTCGCAATAAATGCGTTTGAACCGGAAGTTAGAGTGTAGTGATAGTAGTAGTGGTGGTGGTAGTGGTCGTGGTGATAGTTGTTGGTGGTGGTTCGTGGTGTCGGTGAAGATAGAACTGAATCTGTTCTTTTCTCTTGTATTTCTATATCTCTCGCTATTTCGTCTACTCTTAACACTGTGCTAGTGCTACGCTAAGTTTGCCTAAAAGATTACTAACTGCATGTGAACACCGATCGGTTCAAGTCAAGACATTCATTGAACGAGATACCGTTTCAAATAAGAGATTTTCTTTCTATAGTGCATTAAATTGCGCCGTTTAAAGAAATAAATGTCGAGAACTACCGGAGCAATGACGCACAATAGAAAAATCTCTTTTAACGTATACATGCGGTTATTTTTTATCACGCTTTAATGCAGTTTGGATTCACACCTTTGAAAGTATTTAGATCTATCAGCTTCGAGTCTATAGTGCCAGCATTGAGAAGAAGTGTGTTGCCGAGAGCAGGAGGCGTCTGCCTGATAACATCAAGACAATTGTGCATTACACAGATACAACACAAGAGCATGCACAGACCGAGAGTGGATGCGAACGAAATACATCGAGAAGAGAAAGATACTAAACGCTGTATGTGTCCATATCTCATACATTTAACGCTATATTATACTCATGGACGTACTCAGAATTTTGGGGGGAGGGAGACGAGGTTTATCAATTCTGTTATCATATAAATAATTTTAGCCGAGGATTACGCGTCCATTTGATCGAATGAAGTATTAATATCTAGCATATATTCTGTTTTTTAGCTTGAAGACCTTGTGAAAATTTTCTTTATATATTTATCATATACATTTTATTAAAGCTTTAACTAACGAAAATAAAAATTATTATAGTCGTAACGAGAAGAAAAACATGTTATATAACAACAAAAAATTTACACAAAGTCAAAAGTAAAATTGTATTTTATTCATTAAAAATTAAAAGATTAAAAAATTTGGAGGAATTTGAATTTTCCAAATTTTCACCTGAATACGCCTATGATTACACTATAAATAAATATCGTTGATGAATTTTTTGAGCGATCGCAAAAATGTTATCCATATTTAACGCTAAATGCAGGATATGAATACCGGTCTAAGAGTGTAGAACTAAAAATCTAGTAAGAGTAGCAAAATCTGTTCTCGATTTCGTCTGTATTATTCATCACTGATAATTACCGTCTCGAACATCACCGGCCTCGATCTCGTTGAGACCGTTCGCCATGGAATCGAGGCCCTCATTCTCCGATCGCGCCTTAGTAGCCACCGTATCTGGTTTCGTTCTCCAACCGCCACGCACGAAGTTGTTCAAATTCGCGCTGGGATCGGACAGCCTTCGTTGATGGCGATACATGAAGAGTTCCTCTGCGTCGTCCCAGTCGGCGTCCCACAGATCGGTTGCACAATAACCCGGCTCCGACGTTGGCGTCTCCGCACCGGAACCTTTCGGTTTTGTGACGGCCATTTCCGCGTGTCCCTTGCCTAAATAATTCCCGTATATGTAAATCAAACTCTTATCGTAACGTATTGAACTCTTATACTCTGCGCCTTGCCGTACCGATAAATATAGACATTCTATTTTCCATCTTTTGCGCAAGCGATTACGTCACGTTAAATAATAAAAGTGAAACATATTCTCATTGACACCTACGCCGATATTTTATGCTTAATTTTTAGAT